ACTTATTTTATATTATTATTAAATTAACTAACTTTCTTAATCCCTATTATATATATACTAACCTAATAATATAATAAGTATAATTATATTAAAAAAATCTAAAAATACTAACTTATATTATAATTAATTCTAGAATTAAAAAAATTAGCTTTATAAATTATTAATAGATAAAAATATATAAATTAAAAATTATTATATTTTTTTATTTAATATTCTTATTTAACTTCTATAGTAAGAAAGTAAAAAAAGATATAGTAACTTATTATATAAAGGTTAATCTATTATTAAATAATTATTATAATTAAAAATCTATCTTCTATATTACTTATCTCTCTTATTACTTAATTATTCTAGGACTAGCCTAATTTACTATATATAATTTAAAAATATATTTCTCTAACTAAATAATTATATTTAATAATTAATATTATTATAAATATTATAATATACTTTTTAAGCTTATAAGGATAAGAATCTTAATAAATATTTTTTAAAAAGATTAATTTAAGTAACTAAATTAATTAGAAAAATTACTAGAATTAAAATCTTTTATAATTATTAAAATATATTAAATATCTCTAAAAATATTAGCTATATATACCTACTATCTAGTATAGAAATTATATTAAACCTTATTAGATAAAGTTAATAAAAAATTAAAGTATAAAAATACTAGTTCTAAATTACTACTTATATTTTTTCTAGAACTATAAGAATTCTAAAATATATTTAATTTTTAAAAAATAAAGAAGCTACTATTATATTAATTATATAATTATAATATTAGGATTTAAGAAAAAAAATAGCTCTTATTTAATAAATTATATCTAATATTATAAATATAATTAATTATTTTAAAGAAATAATTAAAAGAGAATCTAAAAAAAAATTTATATATTTTAATTTATTTCTAACTATCTTTCTAATCTTATTTATTAATAAATTTAGAGATAGCCTTTACTTATATATAGATTATTAAGGACTAAATATTATATTAATTAAGGATTATTACTTATTACTCCTAATTAAAAAAATTCTAAATAATTTATAAGGAATATAATACTTCTTTAAAATTAATTTAATAATTATCTTTCATAATATCTATATTAAGAAAGGGTTAGAGTACTTAATTACTTTTTAAACTTATTTTAGACTATATAAGTCTCTAATTATACTATTTAGTCTAACTAGTATTCTAGCTATTTTTTAATATTTTATAAATAATATCTTATAATAATATATAAATATATTTTACTAGCCTTAAATCCTCGCTACGCTCGGCGGCTTGTAGGTTGGCAAACTAAAGCTAAAATAGAAGATAGTATAGTCTGAATTATAGCATGAAAGTTGGAATTAAAATAGGTATTAAAGCAGGTATTGAAGCAAGTATTAAAGTAGGTTAGCAGGCATTCAAGTAGGTATTAAAGCAGGTATTAGCAGGCATTCAAGTAACCATTAAAGCAGGTATTCAAGTAGGCATTCAAGTAGGCATTCAAGTAGGTATTAAAGCAAGTATTAAAGCAAGTATTAGCAGGCATTAAAGCAGGCATTCAAGTAGGTATTAGCATAGTAATAGCTTATAAAAGTAGATAATATAGGAATCTCTATAGCTAACAGGTTAACTAACATCCCCAGGTTCTACAGCACGGAAAAGATGGCCCTGCGGGCCATAGTTCTTCCGAAGCGCGCGTAGAACTCAGCATGGTGTACAGGTCATACCACAGGTAAAAGGGAGACTTTTATATATTATTTAATAATATATTTTTCAATAATATTCTAATTTATAGCTATACAAAAAAATATATATTAAATATTTAAAATAAATATTATAAATTTTATAAAATAATAATCTATATATAAAGATATTTAAGTATAAATTTTATTAGCTAGAAATTAAGTTTTTAAATATTATTATTAAAAGAGAAGATACTTATATAAATTTTAAGAAAATTAAGATTATAATAAATTAAAAATTACTTAAAATAATTACTAATATTAAGAATTTTATAAAATTTACTAGATTTTATTAATACTTTATTAAAGAATTCTTATAGATTCTCGTGCTTATTACTATTTTAAAAAAGAAAAAAATCTTATTCTTATAGATTTTAATTTACTAGACTACTTTTAAAATATTAAAAATAGAATTTATTAAGAAACTAATATTAAGATTTTTTAATTAAGATTAATTAATTATTTTAAAAATTAATATCTTAAACTTTATATTTACTAGAATATTATTGTAATATAATAATAATAAAATCCTATATCTAATAAGATTTTATTTAAAAAAAATAACTTTAATTAAGTATAATTATAAGATATATAATAAGGAATTACTAGTAATTATTTATTATTTAGAAAAATAAATCCTAGAATTAGAAAAATATTAGTATTTAATTAAGATTATAATTAATTATAGAAATCTAAAATATTTTATAATAATTAAGATATTAAATTAAAGATAAATCTAATAATTTAAATTTATATTTTACTTTAATTTTATAATTAATTATTATTTAAATAAATATAAAATAAAATTAGATAATGGGGACTGTTAACGCCACACCCTGTATCGATCCAACCACACCCCTTCCTGATCCTGCCACACCCCCTGACCTGATAATGCCACACCTATTTATCACGTGATCTTTTTTCTTACTATATATGGTTTAGTTATAAGAGTATGTAATTTAGGTAATATACTATATTATTAGACTAAAAGGTTACTATGATCAGACCTGATAGGTAGATGGCTGTGGTTTGAATCCAGCTGGTATTATTATATGTGTGACAATAATAATTAAGTCCTAGGGTTGGATAGTCCCACTAGACCTAGATAGGTGCTAGGGTTGGGTAGAGAGTCCTACTAGGCTAAATAGGTGCTAGGGCTGGGTTAAGTCCCGCTAGACCTGAATAGGTGCTAGGGCTAGGTTGAATCCTGCTAGACCTAAATAGGTGCTAGGGCTGGGTTGAATCCTGCTAGACCTAAATAGGTGCTAGGGCTGGGTTGAATCCTGCTAGACCTAAATAGGTACTAGGGCTGGGTTGAATCCCGCTAGACCTAGTTACGCTACCAGATTTGAACCATGCCTACCTGCTTACAGCCCTTAGTTTAGCCTAGCTAGCTTAGGACTGGGGGTCCCTACTAAATATATGCTAGTTAGCTTGCGGTCAAGCCTTATCTTAAGGAAGGAGATAGTTGTTATGGCGTGTACTAGGTATACTGGTGCCAAGGTAAATAATTGCTAGGTATATAAGGTAGGATTCGGGCAGATTAGACTATTAGGTCTAATTATAGTGATTTTTTAGTCTAATAGTTTAGATATATTACCTGAATCACATGCTTTTATAGCATGCTATAATAAGTATACCTAGGCATACTATAACATGCATGCTATAATAGAATATAAATATCTAATTCTACATGTAATATTTTCATCATGTGATAAATGGGTGTGGCATTATCAGGTTAGGGGGTGTGGCAGGATCAGGAAGGGGTGTGGTTGGATCAATACAGGGTGTGGCGTTAACAAAACCCTAGATAATTTAATTAAGAGATTATAAGATTTTTTTAAAGAAAGAAATAAATACTTATTATATTAAAGTTAAATAATATTAAAAAAAGAAAATTTAATAAATTTTTTATTTAAATATTTAAAAAAGTTATAGAGCTAGTAAATATTATAATTAATCTAGCTTTAAGCTATTATTAGAAAGAAATTAGTATATTTTTAATTACTTAAGTTTAGAGAAGAAAAGATTATCTAGCTTTCTAAATAATTAAAAAAGTACTTAAATAAAGATTATAAATAAGACCTAGTCCCTAATAATATTTTAGAAAATCTAGAAAAAGACTATAATTATTATCTATTAATTATATTATTTAAATATATTTACTATTCTAGACTCCTATTTTATTATAATTAATTATATATCTCTAATATAAAAGAATTAAAAATAAAATTAATATATAAATATTATAAAAGTATAGTTATTAATTATTAAAATAAATTAAAAATTTATAAATTATTATTAAAATTATATTACTAGTTTAGAATATTATAATTTATAGAATAATAAGTTTATAATTACTATATTTATAAGTAATTTATATCTTATTAAAATAAATATTAAGATATTCTTTATTTCTTACTTATACTTAAAAATTTTTAAAAAAATATATTTATTAATTTTATTATATATTTATTTTAAAGTCTAAACTTTAATATTATTATAATAATAATAAATTAGTTAATAAAGTTTTAATATTATATTTCCTATAATAATATTTATAATATTAAGAAAGCTACTTACTTATTTTAAGATTATATTTAAAAATTTTATAGATTTCTTAAGTTTATTATATTTAATTAAAGATTCTAGTTTATATTAATATTCTAGATATATTTAAATTATATTTTAAAAATAAGATTATTTTTATTTATTATTTATTATTTTAAGATTAATAGATAAATTAAATATATAAATATTATTTTAGAATAATATTTAAGAATTTATATTAATTACTTATAAAATAATTAGGTTAAATAACTATTTATAATAAAATTTATTATTAATAATACTAGTTTTAAGATTACTAGATATTTTTTATTCTTTACTTTATATAATTTTAATTCTTATATAAGATTTAAGCCTATTTTATTTAATTATTACTTATAAATTTATAATATTTACTAGTTTACTTTAATTATAAAGTAAATATAAAAATATTACTATATTATTATAATTATTACTTAAGCCTACTATAAATACTATACTAACTAAAAATATTATCTTACTAGATATTATATTAAAAACTAATTAATTTAATTAAATATTAAAAATATTATAATCCTATATCTCTAAAAAAAATTAGACTAGAAAAATCTAGGCCCCTTCCTTATTAAGAGAATTATTAATCTCTATACTTATAAATTAGACCTATTTAAGAGTATAAAAATATATCTAGTTAAATAATATATGAAAGTCTCCCTTTTACCCATGGTATGACCCGTACACCGTGCTGAGTTCTACACGCGCTTCGGAAGAACTATGGCCTGCAGGGCCATCTTTTCCGTGTTGTAGAACCTGGGGATGTTGGTTAACCTGTTAGTTATAGAGATTCCTATATTATCTACTTTTATAAGCTATTACTATACTAATACCTACTTGAATGCCTGCTTCAATGCCTGCTTTAATGCCTGCTTTAATGCCTGCTAATACTTACTTTAATACTTGCTTTAATACTTGCTTTAATACCTACTTGAATACCTACTTGAATGCCTACTTGAATGTCTACTTGCTTTTCCGTGCTATAGAACCTGGAGATGTTGGTTAACCTGTTAGCTATGGAGATTCCTATATCTACTTTTATAAGCTATTATCATGCTAATACTTACTTGAATACCTACTTGAATGCCTACTTGAATGCCTACTTGAATGCCTACTTGAATGCCTACTTGAATGACTACTTGAATGACTACTTGAATGACTACTTGAATGCCTACTTGAATGCCTACTTGAATGCCTACTTGAATGCCTACTTAAACACCTACTTGAACGCCTACTTGAATACCTACTTGAACGCCTACTTTAATACCTACTTGAATGCCTACTTAAATGCCTACTTGAATGCCTACTTGAATGCCTACTTGAATGCCTACTTGAATGCCTACTTGAATGCCTACTTGAATGCCTGCTAATACCTGCTTCAATACCTGCTTTATTGCCTGCTAATACCTCCTTTAATATCTACTTTAATGCCTATTTTAATTCTAACTTCCATACTTACATTAATATAGTAGCTATTATACTATAATTAAGACTATACTATTAGTTTGCCATATGCCCCAACAAGCCGCCGAGCGTAGCGAGGATTTAAGGCTAGTATTTTATATTAAATTATTATATTTAACTACTAAAGATCTACTATCTAGATAAGAGGAAATTAAACTCCTGTATATTAAAATTAATAGTATTTGTCATGGTGTGAAGCCATAGTACCCATCCAGTTAGATTCTGCCCTGACTGTCCACCTCTATCCCTGTATTTAAGCCATATTACTCCTGATCCTGTTATAGCTCTTTAAGCTATATCCTATTTATTACCTGATACCTACTATTCTACTATTCTATCTGGTTAGCTCCTAATTAATAAATATCTAAATCTAATTCTATATCCTAACATTACATAACTTCTCTCTACTAGAAATTAATTATTACTATTATACCTATCTTACTACTTATACTATTTAAAGATATAGAAACCCTCCTATATAATATTTTTAATAAATTAAGATAGTATATTACTAAAATATACTAGTTCTTTACTATTATTATAGAAGAACTTTATAAATTATTTATTCTATATTCTACTATTACTAATCTATATATTACTAATACTAGCCTCCTTAATTATATTTAATAGAAGGATACTATAATTAAGTACTAGAAGATACAAGCTAAAAAAGTCTAATAGAAGTTATTTAAAGTACTTACTTAAAATAGCATGCCTTCTAATTTATTATTTCTTTCTAGAAGAGATACTAATATTACTATTTTTTTTATTATTATTATTACTTTTACTATATTTATTCTTACTATTTAATTCTCTAAATAACTTCCTAACCCTAATAAATTTAATAGCTAATAAAATAATTTAAAATATTTTATTTCTTAAATTTATTAAAAAATAATTATAAATCTTAATTATTTTCTAATCTTAAATAATAAAATAGCTTATATAATTAATTATTTTAAAGGAACTTTATATACTTAAATCTTACTATATATTTAAAATAGAATTTATAAATTAAGTAATTATATTAAGATTTTAGAAATTTTAGAGAAAATTTTTAAAGATCTGTCACGGCGCGAAGCCGTAGTACCTATCTAGTTAGATTCTGCCTTGACTGTCCACCCTTATCCCTGTATTTAAGCCATGTTGTTCTTGATCCTATTATAGCTCTTCAAGCTATATCCTGTCTATTACTTAATACCTACTATTCTGCTATTTTATCTGGTTAGCTTCTAGTTAATAAATATCTGAATCTAACTCTGCCCCCTGATATTATATAGCTCCTCTTTACTAGGAGTTAATTATTACTATCATGCCTATCTTACTACCTATACTATCTAAAGGTATAGAAACCCTCCTATATAATGCCTTTAATAAATTAAAATAATATATTACTAAGATATACTAGTTCTTTATTATTATTATAAAAGAATTTTATAAATTATTTATTTTATATTCTATTATTACTAACCTTCTTAATTATATTTAATAGAAAGATAGTATAATTAAGTACTAGAAGATATAAGTTAAAGAAATTTAATAAGAATTATTTAAAATACTTACTTAGAATAGTATATTTTTTTAATTATTATTTCTTTTTAAAAGAGATATTAATATTATTACTCTTTTTATTATTATTACTACTCTTACTATACTTATTTCTATTATCTAAACCTCTAAATAACTTCCTAATCCTGATAAGTTTAATAGTTAATAAAGTAACTTAAGATACTTTATTTTTTAAATTTACTAAAAAATAATTATAAATCTTAATTATTTCCTAATCCTAAATAGTAGAATAACTTATATAACTAGTTATTTTAAAGAAATTCTATATATCTAAATCTTATTATATATTTAAGATAGAATTTATAAATTAAATAATTATATTAAGATTTTAGAAATCCTAGAGAAAGCTTTTAGAGACTTAAATCTAGAAATTAATATTTATACTAATTTATTCTATTTTTAATAAATCTATTATAAGTTTAATATCTTTTTTACTAAATTTTAATACCTTATATTAAAAGGGAATATAAATAAAGATATCTTATTTATAATTCTAGAATAAACTATTAATTAAGAATTTTAAGAAATATTAATATACTTTAAGATCTTATTATAATATTATAACTTTACTAATTACCTATAAAATTTAGAAAATTATTATTACTATTATATAAATACTACCCTACCTCTATTTATAAAGAATTCCTAGCCTTCTTAACTTATCTTAAAGCTAACTCCTACTACCTAAATTCCTATAATCCCTATTAATCCTATTATTACTACTACTCCCACTAAAGACCTAATAGACTTATCTATTACCTATTACCTTAATTATTAAACTTAATACCTATATTACTACTATAATAATACTAACTATCTAGTAGGTAGCTGCCCACACCCTAATTAAAAACTAACTAGCTATACCTCTATATCTACTACTAAACTAGACCTATACCTCCTATTAACTAGAACCTTGCCTATTAAATACTCTATATCTCCTAAATTAGAAAATAAAGTATCCCTAACCTAAATTATAATTAGGGATACCCCTAGCACTCCCTCTACTTATTAAAGGCTGCAATAGCTAGAATAATAATAGAGAAAGAAAGTTACTAATCTAAACTAATAATCCTACTTATTAATCTAGAAACTTCTAATAAGACTTTACTAATCTTTATAATAATTAATTTTAGAGCTAAGAATAAATATTTTATAGATTATAATTAGACTATAAATAATTAACTAAAGATATTATTATTAAGAAACCCTATTTTACTAAAGGGATTTAATAATATTCTAGTAAAGTCTAGTTATATTACTTATTTTATTTATTTAATCTAAAGAATTTATAACTATATTAAAAAAAATATTACTTTTTTTATAATTTAACTTATATATTTTCTTATTATTTTTAGCTTACTTTAGTTAAAAATCTATAATTTTTAAATTAGATTTACTAATTATACTATTTTATTTAAAAATTTTTATTATAAAAAATACTATAATATATTTCTAAAGTTTATAAAAATTTTAGTATTATATAATATATTATTAAAAGCTTTTTCCTAATATCTTAACTCCTACCCTAAATCTCTAAAGAATTAAGATATTACTAGAGTCTTAATTACTACTTATACTATATATATCTATTATAGATACTAGATATTTACTACTACTATTACTAATATTAAAACTACTCTAAACCCTATTATTATTACTAAATTTAAGTTATAAGAGTAACTATCCCTTAAGTTTACTAAATTCTATAATATATTCTTACTAAAGGAGGCCAAGTACTTACTACCTTACTAATCTAATAATTATAAGATTAAATTATTACCTAGAAAAATCTTATTTTTTAGGAGCCTATATAATATATCTTAAGATAAATTAAAAATTCTAAAAAAATAGATTAAAAAAAATTTAAGAAAAGATTTTATTTATTCTAGTTTTTTTCCTATTATATTTCCTATTCTATTTATAAAAAAACCTAAAGAAGGCCTATAATTTTATATAAATTATTAAGCCCTAAATATAATTACTATAAAAGATTATTATTTATTATTACTAATAAAAGAGATATTAAATAATTTAAAAGAGATAAGATATTTCTTAAAAATTAATATTATTTCTACTTTTAATAATCTATAAATTAAGAAAGGATAAGAATACCTTATTATTTTTTAAACTTAATTAAATCTATTTAAATCCTTAATAATATTATTTAGACTTACTAGAGCCCTAGTATTATTCTAGAGATTTATTAATAAAGCTTTATATAATTATTTAAATATTTTCTATATTATATATCTAGATAATATTCTAATTTATAGCTAAACTTATACTAAATATATTTATTATATTTAATAAATATTAGAATACTTATAAGTAGTAAGATTTTATACTAAATTTAGTAAATATAAATTCTTTATATATAAGATAAAGTTTCTAAAACTAATTATAAGTAAAGATAGCTTCTAAATAAATCTTAATAAAATAAAAATAATTACTAAGTAAGAAATACTAACTTATTTAACTAATATTTAAGCCTTTATTAATTTTAGAAACTTTTACTACTAATTTATTTATAATTTTTTAAAAATTATTAGACTATTAGTTAACTTAATTAAAAAAAATATTAACTTTAATTAAATACTTACTTACTAAAAAATATTTAAATAATTAAAAATTACTTTTATAAATATCCTAATATTAAAATCTTTTAACTAGTTAAAAAATATAATTCTAGAAATTAATATCTCTAATTATATATTTACTAGAGTACTATTATAATATAATAATAAAAATATATTATATTTTATTATATTTTTCTCTAAAAAATATTCTATAATAAAATATAATTATAAGATTTATAATAAAAAATTATTAATTATTATTTATTACTTTAAAGAATAGTACTCTAAATTAAAAAAGATTTTATTACTTATAAAGATTATTATAGATTACTAGAACTTAAAATATTTTATATTAATTAAGCTATTAAATTATTAATAAGCCTACTAGTCTAAATTTTTATTAAAATTTAATTTTTAAATATATTACTACCCTAGAAAATTAAGTACTAAGCCTAATATATTAATTAGAAAATTAAAGGACTTACTTAAAAAAGAAAATAAATAATTCCTTTACTAAAGTTAGATTATCCTAAAATCTAAAAACCTATTATCTAAGACTATTACTAATCTAAGACTAAATATTAATAGCTAATATTAAGTATACTTTATTAAATAACCTACTATTAATAAATTAATCTTCCTACTACTAATATTATAATTATTATTTAATAAAGCTTATTTATAAGATAAGAAGCTCTAGTCTATTCTAAATATTTTAAAGAATAGTCTACTAAGATACCCTAATATTATACTAGCTAA